TTACGAGTGAGGGGGAGGGAAGGTCAACATCTGTTAATGAGTCAAACAGTAGCTTGCCTTTCCTTACTCATGAAGAAAGATTATTTTAAGAGGAGGAACTAAGATTTATTTCAAACTAAGATTTCAAACTTGAAAAAAATGTAGCTGCAAAATCAGCAAAACTGCACCAGAGCTTCAGTCATTTTTCTGAAAATCAGATTATTTCTCAGCTTATTCAAAAAATGAAGTAAAAGAACTCCTTGCTGAAGATAAGCAATATAAAAATATTAAAAATACCCAACTGATACAGAATAATTTTTGCTGCTCATTTTGCAGTGACTCCCTCCCATGACACCCCAAAGCCAGAGTAATTCAATATCCTTATTTTCCATAGACAGAATTATACCATAAAATGCCTCCATGACTTACATACAGTACTGCAAACACTTCTGAGATTTAAACAGCCTAAATCCAAGATTATTGATTCAAAAGAAATAATCTCTGCTACTGTTCATGCTGCCTTCATTTATGTGCAAATTCTATCGTTAACAAGAGGTACACAATCTGCCTTTCTATGAGAAGATCCTCTAAAATACGTTAAATTTTGTCAGACTCACAGGATAAAATAATCAATATTTAGCATATGAAAACATTTTTCTAAAAGACCTTACTTTGAGACTGCTATGTGTTATATCTTAAAGTATCAATATAAGAAAAATGTAAAAACAAATGCAGGTGAAAGGGAGGACACATAAATAGTCCTCTGGAGATATTTATGTTGATATATTCTACAGATTTAGAACTTAAGACAAAAAAGAATAAGCCTACAGACAGCAAGTGTTTTGTCCCAGAATATTTCTGCTAAAGGATTCTAGACAATTCCTAAGACTGTCATCTCCTGCCACACAGCCTGTAAAGTTTCCAGAAGGATTCTAACAAGATTAAAGGAAAGTATCAGACATCCTTACAAAACATTCAATCTATTTTGACTGGCGTTATGCCAGAGTGTGTAAAAGAAACCCAGATAGAAATCCTTCACTGCAACTGCAGAACATTTATTTCAACAAACTTATCCTTGACCTTTCAGCACCCTTCCGTGTTTCTTTTTGTTTGTTTTTTAAAACACAAACCAAACCAACCAAACCAACCATTCTGTTCATTATAGGAATTATGGGACTTCTTCCCAAAGTACACTGCTTGCTAGTAATTCCCTGTTATCTTTTGGTTCTGGATGACATTACACAGGAGATGTCTTTTTTGCTCTGAGCACAACTTTGTACATGAATACTCTATTTCACTCAGGTCCTTTTGCACTTAAAGTGACTTCTAGTGTGCTTTGTAAAAAAGAAAAGCTATTGCATCTCAGATTTGATTTGTATTAGCTACTGGTACTTGGATACTAGCACCTTTATGGAAAGAAAAGAAGGCACCACTACTCAGGAGCAGTTTTCAACAGAAGGATGGGAGACAATTATATTTCACTTGATTATATAACATGCTCCATACTCATTTTCAAGACTAATTTGTATTTTTAAAAGATGAAATTAATACAGTATTGCCAACCTACATTTGATCTTTGATGTCAATGATATTGTTGTGTCAGCTGGGGTTTTAATTCTGAAGTAGTTTTTTAATTTCTTAAATGTGTTTCAAATCTTTTTGTAAGTCACTTATATTTTACAGTAATTTTAAAGGGCTGAATAAGTCTGGCTGAATAACTAGATAATAAGGCTTTGTTCAGAAACATGGTTGTCTCCAGTATAAAATCTCGCAGTTCTAATTAATGCTACTGTCACTTTCCACTTGAAATTGTAAGATGACCTACACAATTATTTCTTGCAGCATGCCAATTTCTTACTCCAGCATAAATAAAACAGTCAATGGAGCTACACTTTCATGTAAGAAAACTTTATTAGAATTATGGAAATTCTAACAGTCATAGCAATTTTTCCATTTAAACCTAATAATTGGGCTTGTTGACAGGTAAGACAGATTTCCTACAATTGAACTATAATAGATGGTTCTACATTTTTTTCTATATAAGTTTAATGTTCAGTTTATTTCACATGAGAAAAATATACCTCAGTTTTAAGTTATAAAAAAGGGCATACAAATGGGAAGTGGAATTTCGAAAAAAGAGAAAGGTGAAAACCTCAGTTTCTTTCAAAACTTATTTTGCATTACAAGAGAAAATTTTACTTCCTTGTTTCCTGTTTTTATACCTGCTACAGTACATTAACTCCAGAGAAGAGGGAATGTTTCCCATTAAATCATTTTAACTTTGTACAAGAACATGTCTATGCAGCAGAGGACTCAAGCTTAGCTCAGAAGCCAGAACCACACAGGGCAGAGCTCAGAAGATAATTCAAGTTGTCATTTACACACTTGTCCCAACTTCCACAGAGGTGTGTCTCGATTGCTTCCAAGATGGAAACGAGCTCAAGTATATCTATATCATGCTATTTGCACCCAAAAACTGCTGTGATCCAAAACCAACTCATAACACAGCTCCATCAACCTGACTGCCCTACTAAAATTGTTTAATACACCTTGAAGACAACTGATACACAGTACACTAATTGACACTGTTTGCTCCAGTGCTTGTGTTCAAGATTAAATCACAATTTCCACAAATAAAACAGGCCAGCACATTGGATGCTAGAATTTTTTTTTGCATGTAGAACGATTTTCTTTTGCAAGTAGCTTCACTGATGTCACCAATATTAATGGTGGCATCTATCAGTTTCAGGCCCAATTATAAATTTCCCTTTTAAAACATAACGCTTAGCCTTTCTACAAAGAAATAACAACATATATCAGGAGCTCTCTCTCTGAAATGGTACTTTATATTTGCAAAGAAAACTCTTTGCATCTCCATTTTCTGTACATTTTGTTCACTTTAAAGATTTGCATGTTAAATCAAAAATTACTTCAATTAGAAGATATTTATAATGATATTTAAGTCATGGATGTTGATTTAACATACATTATAATGAACTGGATTATATCAAGAGTTTATATTACAGTGCCTTACCCTTAAAACACATTTTTAATTCTTAGATATTTCAGAGGACATGAAAGAACCTAGAATATTTGCTGAAGTGTAAAAAGCAAGTGGGACAACTCTACAAGGTGTCTAGAAAGCCCTGAAACCAAGTTTCAACTAAGCTAATTTCTAGGATTATACAAACTATACGTATCAGGAGAGCCCCAAACCAGAACCTTCAGACTCCCACGTGCAACTCATCTATTAAAGAACTCTAAGATCACATAGTCTGTCACAGTCCAACCATATCAATAACCTGAAATTTGAGGAGCAATCAGCAGACACTAGTTGGAGCATTAACTTCATTTTCACTTGTGGCCATCTGGATATGCAGAGTAATATTAGCTTTGTGAGCACAAACGCTAGTTGTATTACCAAGTAACACAATATGCTAGTCATTTCTTTTTCCATTTCTATTTAAGGAATTTGCTCCCTCAACACAATCCTATGAATTGAGTGCCAACAGCATGCCTAAGAAAAAAACCTAAGTTAAAAATACACTAACCTGATTTGACTGCCCAGAAAGGTAAGGTTCAAAATCGTTGTCATGAACTGTATCCTTCTGATGTAACGAACCATTTTGTACTAAAAGAAAAAGGTTACAACAGATTATAACACTGCTTAGTAGCATTTCAGTAAAGAGTTCCACCCTATGTTATTCCATGAAAAGCCGATTTCTTATGCAAGGCATGGAGCTGTCTCTTATACACAT